GAATCTCATATTTATATCCTATTATGAATAACTATTCTACTTATCGTTAAACTTAAGTTAAATGTTTATTATTATTCTTACTATTCTACTATATACATTTCTTCCGCTTACGCTTTCTCCTCCGTGCTATTTACAGCTACCTTGGTTTTCCACTCTGGGTCGTAAGGCATCCATGGGCTGCTGACGGGCTGGACGGCATCTGACTGCTGCGCTGGGTCGCGCTCCGCTACCGGTCGCAATGTTACATCTAATGAAACTAAAACTTTGTCGTCATTAATGATCATATTTTTTATTTTTTTTGCAAATGACCAACCGTCTTTTATATGCGATTTCGGTTTTTCTATAGTATTGTGTAGAATTTTATGTATGTACTGTGCAATATTGTATACAGGACTGCCAAGTGCAGATACAATAATTCGGAGAGGAACGCCAATTTTATGTATCTTCGGCAGCCCGTAGCATTGAGGGAGATTTCCATTTGTATTATTTAATACCTTATACGTTGATTCGTCAATTACATTGTTATCGCGCCAAGACTTTACCAAAGAATTAATTTTATTTGTTAATTTTTTAATAGGATTTTTGTCTAATTTTTTATAAGTGGTTCGATCATCCAACAAGGAGCTCATTTTTAAAAGGTAGTCACTTTTGTTCATTATTACTATGGCTTGCCCTTTATCCGTTTTTAGTTATTAATAAATTTTGGTTGTTACGTATGAAGTTTTTGCAATTAGCCTTTTAAGGTTGATTACGATAGTGACAGCAAAAAGAGAGAAAGAAAACAAAAAGTTTATTAATATATAAAATAAAAATATATATTTAAAATTTTCCCCCCTTACATGTGACTCCTTGATGTGGGCAATATAATCACTTTCTGTTATGTAAATTTCTAATTTACTGGGTTTATTTATTGCTCGCACATTCTATCAAAGATTTTACTTCGCCATAACTCAATAATATTTCAACCTGAGGGATTTTAATTTTACTTTATTTAACTTCTTTTTCATTCATCTAACTTACAAGGGGAGTGCACGACGTGCCCCTCACCGATTCAAACGAGGATTTTTTTATGTATAGTACCTAATTAGAAACAAGTTCTGTTAAAGCGAGAGAACGCGCTTCTCAAGCATTCGTCTGAAAAAAAATGTTGAAGATTTGCCAGCACTTCTTAAGACGTTGCAAAGAAGCATTATCGAAGCGCCCCGGTGGCTTGGTTGGTAGTGTTCTTCTTTTGTAACTGCGAGATCGCTGGATCGAATTATTTCTACTTCAAACAGCAGTGGTCAAACAATAATATAAATAGAAAATAAGCAATAAAAATGGAAAATGTAAGTAAAACATTATTTTCATTAAAAATCTTTTTTCAATGGTAAAAGTCGACCAAACTGGCAATTATTTATTATAGATAATTAGTTCAAATACAACGTTTCGGCTGTCATTGCAGCCCTTTTCAAGTAAATCTATAAAAAGTTACATAAAAATAATTATAATTTTGATACATTTCATCGCAACAATTAATTATAAATTTATATACAAAAATATGTTACACACCAATAGTTAATGCAAAATAAATTAATACAGTAAATCAAATTCACTGCATACCTCCGACAACATTCACCATTGTTTTAATGAACAATGTAAAATTGACAGAAGTAAGCAAGAAATAAATAGATGTTAACAGTTGGCAAGAATCTTAGTCAATACGCGTTAAAAAATCGAGACAAAACTAATGTGTCTTTTGCAATCTAAAACCTCGTAACAAAGTCAAATAAATAAATAAATAGGTAAAAATAAAAATAATTTAAATAGCGTCAAAAACACGATCATAAATCCCACTAAAATTCTCCGTATCTTTCTGTAAATTAATGCTTTTACTTTGTTTTTTTTATATAAAACATTTCTGCAATTTTTCTTTTTCTTGTTTGTTTTTCTTGATGCAAGATAACCGGAGAATCCCAACGGAACTCATGATCGTTGCAAGTCCGATGCAAACTAACGACTGAATGCAATGTAGTGTCTTTTTTGATATTATTTTGATGTTCTTTGATGCGCGTTTCTAAATGTCTCTTTGTCTGTCCAATATACGTAGAATCACAATTTGCACATTCAATTTTATACACGACATCGGTTCTTTTTAAGTTGTTTATCCTATTTTTTCCTCTTTTTATCAGTGTGTCTAATTTTTTTGGAACGGTATATACTACATCAATTCCATTTTTATTCATGCAACGCGTAATATTCTCGCTCAAATCTCTAATGTAAGGCAACACCATACAATTTCGCGCATCAAATTTATTTCGGTTGCATGAGCTAAGATTACCGTCAAATTTAATTGTCCTAAGTCTTTTGTTAATATTTTTGTTTATAACAGCTAAGGGTGCCGTCACATGAGGCGTAACTTGCGTTAAGCGTAACCTGCGTATTCTAGTGTAATCTAGTGATTTAATAAAAGATACGCCGTGGTTATGCTATTCTGAAGGACGGCATTCACATAGGGCGTATTGCGCGGAACGCGTAACTAATACAACCAATCGTAGATTAGAGTTTCCGTTGTATGCTTTAACAGAAATGCTAAATAGGACTTGTGATTGGTTTTCGTAACCTACGCGTCCCGAATAATACGCTTCATGGGGAACCGATGCTTTGGGTTCCGTAAAACGCGCATATTTAAAATGGCTGGCAAAGTGACAAGTGACAAGATAAACGAAATATGTAGAAGACGAGTTATGCAATTAATAGCACAATTCAAGACATTAGGATGTATTATAGTATTTGCAATCTACATTAAAAAAATACGTAATAATGGATTCTAACATATTATTAATAATTATATGGAAACGATTGCAAAAATGGAGAAAGATGAAGCAAACACTTCAACAGCGGAAAGTTGGGAAACGTCATATAGTAAAACTGTTTGCAATATGGAAATTGATGATTCAAGAGGAAAAAGCTCATAATAGAATATGGGTGCGCCCGATATTTAGAGAAAAACAAAGATTTTTACAAGATGCCGAAATGAGATGCCGAAGATCACGAAATGTTTTATAATTATTGTCGAATGTCAAAAGAGATGTTCTATCAGTTGTTGAGTATTGTTAGATCATTCATTGAAAAGCAATATGTCATTCGAGATCCAATATCAAGTCGTACACGGCTTTTAGTATGTTTACGGTGTTTAGCATCTGGGGACAGTATGGCTTCAATAGCCTATTCTTTTCGGATTGGTATAAACACCGTCTCAAAAATTATTGCTGAGACATGCGAGGAATTGTGGAATACTCTTCACATATCAGTTTTCCCTGAAATAAAAAAAGAAAATTGGCTAAGAATCGCAAATAATTTTGCAATAAAATGGAATTTTCTGCATTGCTTAAGTGCGATAGATGGAAAGCATGTAATAATACAGGTAAATTAATGTTTAAATTTATACTTACATTTACTTTATTGTATTTATATTTACTTTAAGAGATCAAAATGGTCATTTTCTATTTCAGTCACCTCCTCACAGTGGCTCAACTTTCTATAATTACAAGGGGAATCATAGTATTAATTTATTGGTGGTTTGTGATGCTAATTACTGTTTCACATTGGTTGACATTGGTGAGGAAGGCAGACAGAACGATGGCGGCATTTTCACGCATTCAAACTTTGGTCAGCGATTCCAAAAAAATGAAATAAATTTGCCACAACCGAGATCAATTGAAGCTTCCGGCCCAGCATTACCGTTCGTATTAGTAGCGGATGAGGCATTCGCTTTGACTCATTACATGATGCGACCGTATCCACGAAGTGGACGTCTAAATCGTCAAAGAAAAGTCTTCAATTACCGTCTTAGTCGAGCACGAAGAATGATCGAAAGCGTGTTTGGCATTTTGGCAGCGAAATGGCGAATTTATCGTCGACCAATAATCGCATCTGTCTCCACCACAGTTAAAATTGTTCAAGCGACTGTATGCTTGCATAATTTCGTGATTCAGAATAAAAATAAATTGTCACTCTCCGAAAGGCGTTATACTCCTATTCTTAGTGAAGGAGGAATTATGACAAGTGGTGCATTGCAAGAAATGAACAATGTTAACAGAACTAACGCTCACACTCGACTTGCCTCTACAATTCGAGACAACTTTGCTGCATATTTCGAAAACAGCGGGGCAGTACCCTGGCAGTGGAAAAAAGTTCTACTCAACGATTTTTAAAAAGGTAATTGTATTTATATTTACAATAAAGATAAATATTTTGTGATATTTTTTAAAAATATTTTGAAATTTTAAAATCTCTTCACTATAATAATTATAAGTACAATAATTTCTTTTAATTAAATTACAAAAAATTGAAAAAAGTATGGGTTTCTTTTGTAAATGTGTATATGCGAATGCAATTTATTTTATCTTATTAATTCTAAGATTCGTTGATGCTTTTGTTACAGGTTAAAATAGGTGAACATTTGGTCTCTATAAAGTATACAGCTTAATACTTAATACAGTCTGAAAGATCAAACGAAACTCAATCCTGTTTTTAATAATTAAAGAAAATAATTAAATAATTACTTATCATAATATTGAACAGTTTATAAATAAAATGCGAACTAAATAGAAGGTAAATTATAGTTTTCAAGACTATTTCTAGTAGGAATTAAATAACGTGGTATTCTTCTAATATATTTTCTTTAATTATCTTAAATCTTGTTACAGGTGTTAAGCATATGTGATATTCTCAATCATACCGCACACGAGAATCCTTTTCTAATTTCTCATTTCAGAGTGCACGTAAAACTGCGTTAATAGTCCTCATTTACGTCCTGTGTATATTTAGGATGCAACATTGTTTGAATTAATGATATAAGTGATCTCAATCAGTAAACATTTTGGGTGATGCACGGTTTGCGTGATTTGACATATTTGACAAATTTCGGAGAAATTCTGCATGTGAAACGTCACACGCTGTCAGGCTCAAAATTCGTGGGAGATAATATCTCGTTTTTTAAAAATACTTTTTTCATCATGGATACGGACAGACCTTTGCACGAGAATTGGAAAAAACAGATATACTGGCTCTCGTTTGTCAAACGCAATATTATAATAGGAAGCATTACAAATGTTACGCGATTCCACATTAAACTGTCATTACACGCGTTTTCGTAAATAAATTCGATGATATCTTGACACTGAATGCATTTTAATTATGTTTTTTTAATGTTTAATTGTTATTAAAATACCTGACATTAATTATATATACAATGTATTGATACAACTTTTGTTGATGCACAGTAATCTCATCTTGTTTAAGATGCTTAACAATAATGTGTTCATATCTATCAATTATAAAATGAATTTTTATATTTCCAGGTTTTTGTGGGATTATTACCGGATAGTTTCTTGAGAATAGAAGAACGCAATGAGCAACTGCAACATGAAGTGGCAGATCAGCAAGCTGCTTTAGCTCTCCAACAGCAGATTCAAAGTATGCCGGTGACTCATGATCCACGAGTGGGTAGGCTTAGTGTAACAATTTCTCAGGTAATCTCTCTTCTCATATGCATGAGATGTATTTATTGTTTAATAGACTTAAATAAGCCAACATTGCGACGATCTGTACTTTCTTGTGTTAAAAAGTTATTTTTCTCAGGCTAAATTAGTGAGAAATTATGAAATGACAAGGATGGATTCTTATGTGACGTTACAAGTAGGACATGCAGTGTATGAGACACATACAGACTCGAATAGTGGAAAAAATTCATATTGGAACAAAGTTATCCAGTGGTGAGAATGCATATATTCTGTTTTCATATATTTGAAAATACACACACACACACACATATATATATATATATATATATATATATATATATTGTATGTATAAGTGTTTCAATATTTATCTCATTGTAACCTCTTATCACCTGGAGTTATTCAAATATTCATAGAAATTTATGATGAGTGTTCCTTCATGATGGATGAATTGATTGCATGGGGTCACATAGAAATTCCGCCGCAAGTTTTTCAAAAGGAAGAGACGCACGAAGATTGGTATATGCTTAATGGAAAACAGGGAGAAAATCAGGAAGGCATAATCAATTTAGTTTTTAGTTACACGATACAAACAATGAATATTATTTACCTTATTAATTATGTTTATATCATTTTTTATGTTTAAAAAATTACAGATTGTCCTAAATTATATAGTTATTTAAATGTAGAATTTAACTACCATTGTAGTCTGCATGTTTATGATATTTACTATAGTTAAAGAATTATTTTATCTTCAGAAATTTTATTGTTTTTTTTTTTCATTAAAAGCTAATCTGTTGTAGAATAAGTGTCATCCATACATGAGTTCCTCGATAATGATGGTTCCTTCTGCAACGCCGATGTTCGGCGTGCCGTATGCCCCGCTAAATGTTTATATACCACCTCCAGCTGTTGCTACACCAACAGTTGCACCAAGTTTTTTGCCAAATGCTGAGATCGAATTGAAGCAGGTATTTAATGCATATCTCAATAAATGTTCTTTTTGTTATGTTCACATAATTGTAATCATATTTTACAGATTGCAGAAATGTTTCCAAACATTGACAAAGAATCATTTAGTTTCAAAAAAATTAATCTTCCTTGAAATAACATACTACTTGCTAGCTCTTAATTTTTGAAAAATATAAATCTTATATATTTCTATTTTTTTTTTTTTTTTTTTTTAATTTTTATTATCAGAGAGATCAAATATTTATTTATCAAGTTAATTATATATTATTTACTTGTATATACAGGACGTTGATAATAAATTTACTATTTAGTGTGTGCAAGTAGAATGGTTTTAATTGAATAGGAAAGGCCTCTCTATTGTTTTACGATTGCAATAATTAAGGAGAAATTAATTAAAAGAGGCCAATCTGCGCAAACGCACAACAAGAAGAGACAGCCTAATGTTACGCGCTTATTAAGTACACGACAAAGCATTGGGATTAATAATGAATCTTTAATTACTAATCAAGTTTAATTANATGATCTCTCGAAGTCAGATAATGCATAATGAAAAAAAATGAATTTATTTTTACATTCAACTGTATAATTATTTTTATTATATCTTTGTTATGCCTAAAGTAACTATGTATATTACATTTTTTGCATTAAACATTGTAAAAGAAAATGCGTTTTAAATATATTATTCTCGTTTACTTAATATTATTGTCTTATATTATTTATTTTGATATTGTATAGCTTAGTTTGTAACGTTGTTCCAACACCTTTCCCGACGCCGCGGATCGGCTCGCCGGTGCCAGGATTCGGGAGGAAGGGGAAATTCAGACTCGCTTATTCCTTAATATAAAATAGTGGGTTTATTCAAATAAAAAGAACAACGAAAAGAATGTTTAATAGCAGGGTACAGGTCATCCTACGGGTTTAGCGGATCGCTGGTATACGTAGTGAACGGTGATCGCACGGAGCGTCCGGTGGCGTAAAGCCTGAACAAAGAACTTAAGAGCTACCCGGTATATGTACAAAGCGTGAGGATCGAACGGAGCGTCCGGTGGCGTAAAGCCTGAACAAAGAACTTAAGAGCTACCCGGTATATGTACAAAGCGTGAGGATCGAACGGAGCGTCCGGTGGCGTAAAGCCTGAACAAAGAACTTAAGAGCTACCCGGTATATGTACAAAGCGTGAGGATCGGACGGAGCGTCCGATGTATTTACAAGCTCGGAGGCGTATAGCCTATAACGGTGTCCAGATGGGACTTACAAGTTACCCGGTATACGATACTGGAGATACAACAGGCGGAGGCGCATAGCCTATAGCGGTGTCCTGATGGGACTTACGAATTACCCGGTATACGATGCTGGAGATACAACAGGTGGAGGCGCATAGCCGATAGCGGTGTCCTGATGGGACTTACAATTTACCCGGTATACGATGCTGGAGATACTAGGTACTGGCGTAACGCCTTTATTCCAAACGGAGAGCGGTGAAGCCAACGTACGGCGGCATATAGCCTTATAAGGATGTCCGGAAACCGGGAAACCCAGTATAACGACGAGAAGCCCGTCGCCCGGATGTTAGCAGGATGGACCGGAAACTGGGAAACCCAGTGTAACGACGAGAAACCCGTCGCCCGGCGGATAGCAGGATGGACCGGAAACTGGGAAACCAGTGTAACGACGAGAAGCCCGTCGCCCGGCGTATTACAGGAGGAGACCGGAAACCGGGAAACCGGTGTTACAACGAGAAACCCGTTGCCCGATACTAACGGTAGGAACCAGCGACCGAGAAACCCGGCACTTTCACAACGAGAAGCCCGTTGCCTGGTCTGGGAGATTTGGAACGGGACTGGTGCCGGCTCGTCCGCCGAGCCGGCTTATATACCCGTCCGGCGGTCCCCTACTCCGCGTCGAGTTCGTGGCGGGGGTACCGCGCCGGGATCGCGGAGGGGCGTCCCCGGGGTGGGGCGGCCCGTGTGGAACGATTAGGGGCGCCTTTAGGCGCCAAAGCCTCACGTGGCGGGCGGCTGATCGGCCCGCGAGGCGTTAGTAACGGCTGCGCCGTTACATTACCCCCTCTCAAGACGGCGGATCATACGCGGCCGACCGAAACGGTCGAACCGGATGATCCACCGCCCGGAAGGGGAGGTGGCCCGGAACTTCCGGGTTATGAGCGCGCAAAACCACGGGACCGTCACCACGTGCCCGTCGTCAAGGAGGACCTTGACGGGGGGCGCCGCGGGAGGCGGTCCGTGGGTCTCTCGAGTGGGTGGTTGGGAGGAGGGTGCCGCTACTGCAGTAACGACCCCCACCCCCGCCACCCCCTCGCGGAGGCCCCGGGTTGGCGGTGTTGGAGGGGCGGCGGGCCGTCGTGACGGTCCGGTCCGGACTCTCCCCGGCCGTGGTCCCGGCGGTGGCGGCGGCGCGGTCAGCAGGATAGCCCTTCGGCGTTCCTGCTGCGCGTCAGATCGCTGCACCGAGATCCCCGGCCGCGGGAGCCGGACCGGCGCCGCCGGGGCCTGGTTGTCGGTTGGCCCCGTCGGTTCGGCGATCGGTCCGTCGCCCTCATCGGAGGACAGGTCTCCAAAAAGTGCCTGGATGTTAGCGTTGTCGCTCATCGTGGCAGTATGTGCCGGGTCATTGACCCGGCTCCCTTATATACCCCTGCGGGGGTTTTCGAGTGCGCGAAATCAAATTCCTCCTGCGGATCCTAGCGGCGGGGGTCGGACTACGCGGTCCGTCGGTGAGCCGTCGCAGGTTGCGTCGGAGGCCGCGAGATGGCGGGGGTGGGTGTGCCGGAGAGGGTTTGTGCCCACGCTAGGCGGTCTTACTTTTGTACCGGCCGAGTCGGGAGGTTGTTATGGAGGGCCGCGAGATGGCGGGGGGGGCAGGGCGGTGTGCTGGAGTGGCTGCTGGTCCGGGGGCTAAGTCCCGCTAATGTCCTCGTCCCCTTCCTCCGGTGCCGTCTTGAGGTCCTGTACGTGGATGTGGCGGTGCCATCGTCCTCGGGCGTCCTTCAGGTCGACGATCACCGGGGATATAATCCGTCGAACCGTCATCGGCCCGCTATATTTCGGGGCTAACTTGGCGTTAAACGCGTCGGCCTTGTTGGATAGGGGGCGGTCCCGTTTCCATACGCGGTCGCCCAGCTGTGGTCGCCAGTCTCGTCGCCGCATGTTGTATGGTTTTTCTTGTCGGTGGAAGGTCCGTGCGAGGTGGATCCGGACCACTTCGTAGGCGTCCTCCAGCTGGGTCTGGCGGGTGCTGGGTCCTGGGGCCGGTGCGGTTCCCGGTCGGTCCTCCGGGTGCGGTCGGGCGAGCTCCCGGCCGTGTATTATGTAGGCCGGGGTGTATCCGGTGGCCTCGTGTCGGGCGGTGTTGACGGCGAATTGCAAGGCGGGGATTCGCTCGTCCCAATCCTTGTGCCGTCGGCCGACGTATTGGCTGATCATTGTTTTGATCGTGCGGTTGGCTCGTTCTACCGGGTTACATTGTGGCGTGTATACGGGGGATGTCCGATGCTGGATCCCATAGGCGGCTAGCAAGGACTCGACGCGTCGTGCGATGAATTGGGTCCCGTTATCGGACACGAGGGTGGTCGGACATCCGTGTCGGTATATTAGCCGGTCGGTAAGCGCTCGGGCCACCGCGACGGCGGTGGCTTTCCGGAGTGGGACCATCTCGACCCACTTGCTAAATCGGTCCTGGATGGTTAACAGCCAGGTATGGCCGCTATTCGATCGAGGCAGGGGGCCGATCAGATCTACGGCGGCTTGTTCCCAAGGTGTTCGGACGGGGGTGGCCATCATCCGCCCAGCCGGTCGTTGTTGGCAAGCCTTATGCCGCGCACAATTAGTGCATCCTCGGACATACCGGGCAATCTCCCGAAACATGCCGGGCCAGTAATAGAGTTGGGCCACCCGAGCAAGTGTTTTAGAGATGCCCAGGTGTCCGGCGGCCGGGTCGTCGTGCATTCGTTGCAGTAGCGCAGGCCGTTGATCCGTAGGTACGCACCGCTTCCACTGTTCCTCAGCTGGCGTCTCCCGGAAGTCCAGATCATGGAGGATGTGCCGATATAACTGTCGGTTCTGTACCTTGTAGTCCGGGTGCTCGGTCGGGTGTCTTTGTACCTCGGTTAACTTTCGGTGGTACCACCGGCATTTCGGCCGGGTCACGGCTAAGGCTTCCGGGAGGCGAGAGAGAGCGTCCGCCACTTGGTTGAGCGTACCTCGCCGGTACTGGATGTTGAAGTCGTGCTGTTGCAACTCGAACATCCAGCGGGCCAGTCGCCCGGTAGGGGCCTCGATTCGTTGCAACCATTTTAGAGCTTGGTGGTCGGTCACGACGGTGAACCTGTAGCCCTCGAGGTAATCCCGCATTCGGCGTATGCCCCACACGACGGCCAAGCATTCCAGCTCGGTGGCGCTATAATTTCGCTCTGCCGCGTTGAGGGTTCGGCTGGCGTACGAGATGACTCGTTCTCCCTCGCCGAGGTGCTGAGTCAGCACGGCTCCTAACCCGTGGGTGCTGGCGTCGGTCTGGAGTACAAATGGTTGGGTAAAATCCGGACAGGCGAGGACGGGGGCGGTGGTTAGCGCCTGTTTTAATTTCTGGAACGCGGTTTCTTCTTCCACGGCCCAGTTCCAGCGTGCCCCCTTCTTGGTGAGGCGAGTGAGGGGGGCGGCGATGGTGGAGAAGTCGGCGATAAATCGGCGGTACCACGATGCTACCCCCAGGAACTGTCGTACCCTGCGGAGGGTCGTGGGGACGGGCCAATCGGTAATGGCCCTCACCTTCTCTGGGTCTGTCCGGATTCCGTGACGATCGATCACGTGCCCGAGGTACCGGAGACTTGGTCGGCAGAAATGGCACTTCTCCGGGTTGAGGCGCAGTCGGGCGTCTCGCAGGCGACGAAAAACTTCGGCCAGATGGCCCAGGTGTTCCTCGAAGGTGCGTGATGCGACGACTATGTCATCCAGGTAAACGAGGACGTGGGGTTCCAAGGCAGGTCCCAGCACGGTATCGAGTAATCGCTGGAAGGTGGCTGGGGCTGAGTGCAGTCCGAACGGCATGACACGGAACTGCATCAGCCCTCTCCCTGGCACAGTAAAGGCGGTTGCGGGGCGGCTCTCCGGCGTCAGC